CTTCTTCTTCTTCTTCTTCTTCTTCTTCTTCTTCTTCTTCTTCTTCTTCTTCTTCTTCTTCTTCTTCTTCTTCTTCTTCTTCTTCTTCTTCTTCGATCCTTCTGTCAGAAATCTTATATCAGGAGGCCGGTAGCCTTTATGAAAGCTATCGTGCAATCCATATCCTCTCGTGTACCATACAGTTTTGTCTTTATTGTGGTTGGAACAGGCCAGATTGCGTCTCTGTTGTCAGCATACAGTTGACAGTGTTGGAGCACATGCTCAGCATTTTCGGGTGCCACGCTGCAGGGACACGTCTCCGTATTTCCTACACCGAAAAATTTGAACATATGTTGACGAAATCTGTTGTGCCCTGTTCTTAGTCTGAATATAATACACTGTCCCTCTCTAGAGAGGCGATGAAGTGAGTCTTGGGGAGAAAATCTGGTGTGGGTATCCAGCCACCTTTCTTGGATACTAGATTGTATTAGTGTTTTCATCTCTTGGTAAGTGACTTGCGCAAGGACTTGAATTTGAGGAAGAGTTGCGTAATTCGTCGACCTCACTTCCTTGCCTGTGACCTCTTAATCCAATTGCAGGACAATGTCGAGACGACTGGAAATAGACCTAGGTGCAGTGGGTGACCAAGGCGAATTAAATGCCCTGCCTTGCTCGAAGCTCTCCACAGAGCCTGCTGGTAATCGCCTTTTTGTTCGTTGAGCCAATGAGACGTTTCACCCGCACAATCCGCTGAGTCCACTCTTTGCACGCAGGGTTGGCAAATTCCCTTTCTAATGTGCTAATGACGTGGTGGAAACTGCTGTTGTGGATGTTCCTGTCGATGCATTCCTGCTTTCCCCTCCCCTGTGTATTAGTTCCAAGGGGTCCCAGCCCAGTAGTATCTTCACTTTCTTCTTCTTCTTTTTCTTCGCGTTCACCAGCTGTTCACTCCGGCGGAAGGTTCTGCTTAATCACCCACATCCGGGCTTTATTCTTGTTCCAAAACCATAGTGTTGCGCGCACATCCTTTTTACACACCTGACTTTTAAATGCAGACTGTTTGTTCCTTACTTCTCATGCGGATGCACTCCAACTTAGATGGAAACCCCCAGTTAATCGAATCTGACCACATGCTCTTTACGGAGACAGTGAGTCTATTCGTTTTCTCTAAAATGGGACCCCGAAACCAAGACGGAGAGTATCTTCAAATACTGCCACCCAAGACATTATTCTCTTTAAATGGTTTCCCATGAAATCATTCAGGTCCATTGTCCGTTTATGAAATGTCGACTACGTTTAACCTATTGAAAGCAGTATCGGTTATAATTGTGGTTTGGTTTCTTTGTGCCAATTATGTTGGCTAAGAAACTTCAGTGGCTTGGAGCGGTACTCTAGCACCTAGTGAGGGCTGTTGGGGAAGGGGTGGTCATGTTATGTCTATCTGAGCCAGTCGGAAAAACCAAGACATCTTCAAAAAGTAAAAGTTCGTCGTAGCCCAAGAGGAAAAGGCTGTAACTTGGGCAGTAAAGCCAGATATAGAACCACGTATCTCCCTTAGCAAGTGAAGCTGTAAAGGAGAAAGTAAAGAAGAAGAAAAAAAGAAGCAGGAGAGAAAGTACAAAAAGAAGGCCAGAAAAAGAAGCAGAAGAGAAAGCACAAAAAGAAGGCCAGAAAAAGAAGCAGAAGAGAAAGCACAATAAGAAGGCCAGAAAAAGAAGCAGAAGAGAAAGCACAAAAAGAAGGCCAGAAAAAGAAGCAGAAGAGAAAGCACAAAAAGAAGGCCAGAAAAAGAAGCAGAAGAGAAAGCACAATAAGAAGGCCAATCTGCCATACAGCCAGTCTTCCCATGATTCCCTGTACATAGTTTCTAACGAAGCCATCATGGCGCCGACTGCGGAGGTCTGTTTATTTAACTTTTCATTCTTAAAGGACCAGAATGTTTATACATTATACACGTCGTATACATTCTTATACCTATTTCTACATCTTCTGATTTTTAACGATGATTGAGTTATTTACTATTAATGTAAAAAGAGACGAACATTCGTTTGCAAATTCTTACGAACAACGACAATTAAATACTAATAATATAACAGTACTGCGTGCCGTTACTAGGGGATGGTTGAAGAAAGTTTCAGCCCAGGACATCCTTACTCAGTGTGGAAACATGAGGATATTAATAATAATGAAAAATAAAGAATCACATATCAGTGGAAAAGATAAAACTGACTCGTTATAACAAAATTCGGGCTCTCCTTGCAGATCCGGGCGAGGGTTGGATGCGGGCTGGACGACTTAGTTCAGTTTAGTGGGAGTTCTCTCCCTTGGCCGAACTCGAAACAGTGAGCGGAAAAGTCACGAAACAAATCACATACTTACCTATCATCATACGGTTGCGTACGGTTGCTGTTAGGGTTGCGTAGTCATCATACGGTTGCGTGTAGGGTTGCGTAGTCATCATACGGTTGCTTGTAGGGTTGCGTAGTCATCATACGGTTGCCTGAGGGGTTGCGTAGTCCATCATGCTGTTGCGTGTAGGGCTGCGTAGGGTTTGGGTTAGGGGTGTTGGTTAGGGGTAAGGTTAGGGGTAGGCTTAGGGCTAGGATTAGGGGTTGGGTTAGGTTTAGGGGCTAGGTTTAGCGTTAGATGTGACAATTTTGATGACGCAGGAATTCCCAATAATCGCGCACTGTCACATACACACCCAAACAGTCGACAGACTGTGGATGCTACTGACACGGACACGTCGCCACCGGTTGGGCACCAGCTGCACGCTATTGCGGTCATATTTGACAGACTTCCAGTGGTGCCACTCTCACAAGCATCAGATTGTCGGCCAGTATTTGGAACTCCTACGTCAAAATTGTCACATCTAAGCCTACCCCTAACCCTACCCCTAAACCCTAACCCTACCCCTAAACCCTAACCCTACCCCTAAACCCTAACCCCGAACCCACACTGTACGCAGCCCTACACGCAACCGTATGATGATAGGTATAATCCTACACGCAGCCGTATGATGACTAGGCAACCCTTCGCGCAACTGTATGATGACTACGCAACCCTTCGCGCAACCGTATGATGACTTACAACCGTACGCAACCTTAAACGCAACCGTATGATGATAGGTAGGTATGTCATTTGTTTCGTGACTTTTCCGCTCACTATTTCGAGTGCGGCCAAGGGAGAAAACTCCCACTCAACTGAACTAAGTCGTCCAACCCTCGTCCGGATCTGCAAGGAGAGCCAAAATTCGTTTATTCACTTTGAACATGGCTCTCCTTGCAATAACGGTCGCTAGTTGGACGGCGATGGCCGCTTCGTCGGAGTTCAGTCCCCTGGCTGCAGTGCAATTGCGGAGTGGAAAAGAGGGAACGAAACAAATGCCATAATTAGGGTTAGGGTAACACATGTAACGTCGAGTACTTACCCATAATGACAGCCGCTATATCTTTGTTTTGTGATTCGTGCCTTGTCCACTCCGTAATTGCACTGCAGCCAGGGGACTGAACTCCGACTAAGCGGCCGTCACCATCCAAGTAGCGACCGTTATTGCAAGGAGAACCTTCAACATTAACAATAACAAATTTAATATTGAATTAAGAATAAACATCACAACACTTGGGACACTCCCATAGGTGCTCAGTCCCCATATTCAGCAGCAAGTGAAGAGTTCCAGTTCCGATCGTACCAGTAACCGTCTGATTGTATATCCATCTCATCCTTCCCCTGAGTGTTCAGCGTCGGCCAGATCCCCTGGCAACTCCTCGCAGCCCCATTCTCCTTAGACCATAATGATCTAGCGTCTCCGCAGTGTTCACTTGCTCCCAAAGGGCCCTCACAAAATTTAACTTGTCATACATCAATTCACCACCAAATGGTGCAGAGCCAGCTAGTCTATCTGCCTGCTCATTTAACAACACACCAGCATGACCTGGAAAAAAATATCCAAAGGGTGCTAACTACCTGGGACTTCTGAAGTGATGCTTGCCACTCTGCGTGAAGCATTTCTGTTTTCACCTTTGTCAACATGCTCTGTGAGTCAGTTACAATTCACTGCATCTGTGTACAGCTAATTCTTGTGCCAGCATAAGGCAGCAGAGACTGCCTCTACCTCTATTCTCAACCTAGACGTGATATCATATGCAAGGCTTTGCTGCACTAGGCGACGTCCATTCGCTCTTGCTATGAAACCCCCTTTCATTTCGTCTGCCCCTCAACACAGAGCCATCTGTATGGATAATCACATCACCTGGGCAGGAATTGTCATGAATCATTTGTCAAACTTCTGATCAATAACTATAATTTTAATCTGATACTATGCTGAGAAAGGGAGGAATAGTTAATCAACACGTTTTCTCTCACTTTCTTCTCTCTTTTTTTTCCCCCCTCTCTCTTTCTGTCCCTCCCCCTCTCCACCGCTGTCTTTTAAAATTCAGTGCTCTTCAACTACACCTGCTGAAGCAGCTACGGCTTCCCCCCCTCAACCCCCCCCCCCCCAACCCCCCCCCCCCCCCCCCCCCATGAATTTGAACAAATACCCACAACATCCCCCCACCCCACGGGGCAGTAGCGCCCGCCTCGGGAAACATTGTTTCATTACTTTCACAACAGCCTTTTTTAAGGGGGCAGTGAGTGTATTCGGCTCCCCCTCAACCCCACCCTCCTGTAGGGGAAGAGTAGATGTAAAACACTGGTCTGGAGCCACTCGATGATGCGCAGTATACCACCGGACTTCCACAAGACCCAGGGCCCCCCTCCCCCACCCCTGGGTCTCATGAAAGTCCCATGGTATACTGCGCATCATCGAGTTTCCCCAGACCAGTGTTTTACATCTACTGGAAGTATTGCAAATGTTAATACCTCTTATGCACACAAAAAAAATTCAAATACTCTTTAATATAGTTAGTTGTAAAATGACATATGTTCATATAAATACCAAACATTTTTTAATATGGCTGGTGTATTTTTTCTTTGAATATTTGTTTATATGATACACATTTTAGGGAGGAGATGAAAAGATGGCACGAAGTACTGTTGTGTTTAACACAAGCAAAAAGGAACTGTTTACACTGAACAATGGCTTGAAGACACTCAACAGAAAGCTACGATCTTCTTGGAGGGTCGTGTCGTAAGCTTCGTTTACCTCACTTGTTTTATTTAACTTGGCTTGTTTGGTTTAACTTGATACGTTTTGTTTAACAAGGTCATTATGTCTTCATTATGTTTTCATTATGTCTTCATTATGTCTTCGTTATGTCTTCATTATGTCCTCATTATGTCTTCATTATGTCCTCATTATGTCTTCGTTATGTCTTCATTATGTCTCCGTTATGTCTTCGTTATGTCTTCAATATTTCCTCATTATGTCTTCATTATGTCTTCATTATGTCTTCATTATGACTAGAACAAGCAAAACTGTTCCCTCTGTTCCTGTCTCTATCCATGCTATGTTACATTTAGCAGTAAGAACAATAATAACAATAATTGTCTGAACAGATAGTAGACATTGTTTTCATAACTGTTTATTGTTCTCATAGCTGTTTATTGTTCTGATAACTGTTTATTGTTCTCATAACTGTTTATTGTTCTCATATCTGTTTATTGTTCTCATAACTGTTTATTGTTCTCATAACTGTTTATTGTTCTCATAACTGTTTATTGTTCTCATAACTGTTTATTGTTCTCATAACTGTTTATTGTTCTCATAACTGTTTATTGTTCTCATAGCTGTTTATTGTTCTCATAACTGTTTATTGTTCTCATAACTGTTTATTGTTCTTGTAACTGTTTATTGTTTTTGCTACTTTTTATTGTTATCATAACTGTTTATTGTTCTCATAACTGTTTATTGTTATCATTACTTTTTGTTGTTCTCATAACTGTTTATTGTTCTCATAACTGTTTATTGTTCTCATAACTGTTTATTGTTTTCATAATTGTTTATTGTTCTCATAACTGTTTATTGTTCTCATAGCTGTTTATTGTTCTCATGTCTGTTTATTGTTCTTGTAACTGTTTATTGTTCTTGCTACTTTTTATTGTTCTCATAACTGTTTATTGTTCTCATAACTATTTATTGTTCTCATATCTGTTTATTGTTCTTGTAAGTGTTTATTATTCTTGCAATTGTTTATTGTTCTCATAACTGTTTATTGTTCTCATAACTGTTTATTGTTCTCATAATTGTTTAGTGTTCTCATAACTGTTTATTGTTCTCATAACTGTTTATTGTTATTATATCTGTTTATTGTTAATATAACTGTGTTTTGTTCTCATAACTGTTTATTGTTATCATAACTGTTTATTCTCCTCATAACTGTTTATTGTTATCATTACTTTGTGTTGTTCTCATAACTGTTTATTGTTCTCATAACTGTTTGTTGTTCTCCTAATTGTTTGTTGTTCTTATAACTGTTATTGTTCGCATAACTGATTATTGTTCTCACAACTGTTTGTTGTTCTTATAACTGTTTTTTGTTATCATAACTGTTGATTGTTATTATAACTGTTTGTTGTTCTCATAACTGTTTATTGTTATCATAAATGTTTTTTATCATAACTGTTTATTGTTATCATAACTGTTTATTGTTCTCATAACTGTTTATTGTTCTAATAATGGCAACAAACTTCATTAACAGTAACAAACAATTACAACAAACTTCATTCACAGTAACAAACTCTAATCATGGTAACAAATGTAAGTTACAGTAACAAACTCTAATCATGGCAACAAACTTCATTCACAGTAACAAACTCTAATCATGGTAAAACTGTAAGTTACAGTAAGAAACTAATCAGGGTAACAAATTTCAGTCTTAGTAAATAAACACAAGACTCAAGGTTCAACAAGGGGAGAAGAAAAGACACACACAGATGCAACTGAAAGTTTCATCCAAAGTCTTTATCAATAAATAGATCAGCCCTGTTTTCAATCATAGAAACAGTTTTATTTTTTTGTCACAGTAACAGGGACGACATCACAGCGGACAGACTTAGTCAAGCCAGAATTTTTGTGATTCCGGGCTCCAGGGATAAATTCACGGCAGCAGAGGTTAGTTTATTTATTTATTTATGTACAGTTGTTTTGAAAATAAATATACCCAGACTTTGTCTAGACTCCTGCTTCTTCTCATTCACAGTAGTTGATTGGTATAGCAGTCAGTAACTATCCCGCATGGGAGCGGCTGATGAGGTAACAGCTGTTTCTTCCATATTTCCTTGTCGTTTGTTAGTTATTGCAGTTTGTGCCAACCCTATTCTTTTTCTTCAGATCGGCTTTTTTAGTTGTTTTCTATATTGTTCTTAGCTGTACCTCTGTTTTATTGAGTCATTGCCGTAGTTCTGTTAATGATGTTGTCATCTCATATAGTCCATGCCATGACAGTTCTAGTGATGATGTTAACATCTCTCATATAGTTCATGCTATGATAAGTCTAGTGATGATTTTGACATCTCTCATATAGTTCATGCCATGACAGTTCTAGTGATGATGTTGACATCTCCTATAGTCCATGCCATGACAGATCTAGTGATGATGTTGACATCTCCTATAGTCCATGCTATGACAGATCTAGTGATGATGTTGACATCTCCTATAGTCCATGCCATGACAGTTCTAGTGATGATGTTGACATCTCTTATATAGTCCATGCCATGACAGATCTAGTGATGATGTTGACATCTCTCATGTAGTCTATGCCATGACAGTTCTAGTGATGATGTTGACATCTCTCATGTAGTCTATGCCATGACAGTTCTAGTGATGATGATATCTCTCATAGTTTTTATGTAGTGACAGTTCAAGTGACGATTTTGACATCTTTCATAGTTTTCATGTAGTGACATTTCAAGTGATGATGTTGACATCTGTCATATAGCCTATGCCATGACACTTCTGATGATGATGTTGACATTTCTCCTAACTCCTGGCATCATGACATCACAGTGCAAGTGATAGTTAGTTCGGTTTAGTTTAGAACATCACTCAGAAGACACCCATAAGTTCTCTGCCCCATCTGCAGTAGCCAGCACAGAGTTCCGATTTCATGGTACGACTAGCAGTAGCTACTCTCTGAAGAAGAAGAAGGAAAAAGAAGAAGAAGAAGAGGATGAATAGTTATATAGTCGAGTCCATTTAAGTCGAACTCGGATAAGTCGAATTTAGGTTAAGTCGACATGACCAGCGTAGTCCCGGCAATTGTCTCTATTGTCTGTTCTGTCTGGATAAGTAGAAATCTTGATAAGTGGAAGCATTTTCTTAGGTCCAAACTCGACTGTAATACTAAAAAAGGAGAAAAACAAGAAAAATAATAATAAGTAGAAAGAAATTAGAAGAAGAAAATTAATGCAATCTGACAATCAGTCAGGATTGTGAAACCCAGGCCTTACAAACTCGAGTAGATCAGTCACAGCTATGATGGGTTGGACATGTACACACACTGGGAAAGAATTGGCCACCACAGCAGGCATGGGAGGTCAAGAACCAGGGAACCAGACCTCCAGGATGACATGGGGGGGGGGGGGGGGGGGAGTTGAACGGGAAAGACAATATCTGACAGTCCCTGACTAACAGAGGACTAAAATCGAACAAAGCCAGAAAAGAAACTACAGACAGAGAAGTCTGGCGATCTCTCTGGTGAACCTCTACACCTCAGGGTAGAATAGAATGAACTAAGTTAGTAAGAAAATGAATAAGAAGAAAAAGGAGGAAAAGAAGATAATGATTGTGAAGACAAAGAAAAAAATAGGACAAATGAAAATTTATAACATCTGAACACATGATTGCGTGTTACAGTTGGACTATCACATGTATTTGCATGTGTGAAACTGTTATTGTCTCCTCTGTTGTCAGTTTTCAGCCCTAAAGGTGTTCCTGGAGTCTGGAGGCAGTATACTTGTCATGCTCGGTGAAGGTGGAGAAAGCAAGTTTGAAACAAACATCAACTATTTTCTTGAAGAGTATGGTATCATGATCAACAACGGTAGGTACTGTTTTGTGTTTGATTTTAGACTGTCCCTTGAGTTTGTGAGTACAGGTGTTTTATTTTCCTGGGGGGGGGGGGTCCTGTTTCGAGAGAGAAAAAAGAATGTAGCCACTGCCTTTCATACAAGTGGGATTCGCCGTGGCGTAGCGGCTAGATACCCACGTGGGGATCAGAAGGTCGTAGGTTTGCTCTGGTGGAGCCAGACTTTAAAAAAATGACCTTGACTCCCAGGTCAAGCCAACCTTAAGTGGGTACCAGTTGCAGTCCTGGGAAGTAAAGGTGGCTGGGGTGATGCTGACCACCTCACCCATCTTGTGCTGATTGGTCTATAAAAATATAGGTCTAGCCCTATATGCCCAATACGCCTAAGGGCGTGGAAAAGGGACCTTTCCTTTTTACTTCCTTACAAGTATGTCACACCTGACATTGATCTTGGCGGCCATGTTTCAAATCCTGGAGAGCTGGATTTTTTCAGCTGATCTTTGCTACTAGGTCAGCTTGTAGAAAAACAAATTACCTGGAGTTGTTCTGGGAAGCAAAGGTGGCTGCATCATCCTGGTCTGTTAACATATGTACTATTCGGAAAAAAAAATGCAAAGTTGTCTGATGCCGTGTTTTTATTAGTTATGGGAAAGCCTGTAACCTTAAAAATTTTGTCGATTAAGATGCAGAAAAAACCTGTCAGTTGATTGGTTGAACACCCGAGATATTTTAGCTTGCAATTTGAACAGTTTTACTTATTTAATTAGAAAGATTTTGAATGTCAAATTTATGATAAAATTACGGCTGACTGACTTTCTACCCCACCAGGACATCACACAAGCGATAAACACCCGATGACACAAAGTGCCACCATGCGGATGAGGATCACCGTGGAGAGGTCCCAGAAACCGCGTTCAGACAATTGGCCATATTGATGGCCTGCCTATATTGCGGCCCCTGGCAAAAGCCAGGGTGGGGCTTCAAATAAAAAAAAATTACGTCCTAAAAAAGACGTAAGGATTTTTATTGATTTCCAGCTCTCGCATCTCAGTAGCTATAGTTTATTTGTTTGTTTTTGAATAGTATAAATAAATTAAAACAAAAGTATAAATGCTGACATGCCAGTAATAACAGAAGATGTTGAAATGAAAGTAAACACAACTTACACTTTGCAAATGTTTTGTAGATGCTGTTGTGCGGACATCATATTACAAGTACTTTCACCCAAAGGAAGCCTTGGTGGCAAACGGTGTCTTAAATAGGTATGTGAGAGTTGTGGGCCTTGTTATTGTGGGCCTTGTTATTGCGGGCCTTGTTATTGCGGGCCTTGTTATTGTTGTGTTGACTTTGTTGTGTCTATTTGTTTTCTAGTTCTTGTGTCTTTGCCCTCTTTTGTCTTTGTTGTCTTGATCTAGCATGTTTCTGTTGTGCTAAATACAACATAAAATGTGAACAAATAACTCGCTGAAGAGAATGGAAAAGATGCACACAAATACAACCAAACGTTTTGACGAAAGTCTTCTTTAACGGAGTAAAAAATGACGCACACTGGAAAATCCAACGGAAAGACAGAAGAGCTTCTAAACCATGTTTGTGCTGAAGTTGCTTTGTGAACTTATTTGTGTGTTACTGTTTGCACAGATATGAACCAGAAGTGAATGTCATCGTCATCATCATCATCAATTTTCACTTCTGCTGTTAAGCAATGTAGGGAGGAACAGTTGTGATCGATTGACTGATGAATAGCTGTTGTCATTCCATGTTATCAGTCTGTCCTCTCCTAGGGTGACCTCTTGCTTTCACTTGTTTGTTTTAGTATCCAGAAGCTATGAGTTGTTAACCCTTAGGCTCGGTATTATGGATATTGCAACCTTGATTCCATTGTAAATACCGTAAATCTGGGAGAAAATATGGCTTTCCTGCCTACCCCCGGGATTGAACCCGGACCACAAGGAGTTCGTCACCCGATCTCCGCGCAATCCGTTTAGCCAACTACACTAGAGAGCCGGGCAGTGCTTGCTTTCACTTAAGATATGTAGCGTGTAATATCTGCATTGGTAGTTGTTCTGGCTGCATTCTTATTATATGACCAAACCATTTGATCTTCTGTTTCTCAAAGAATTTGCTGCATCGTGTTGTTCCCACGGTCTGTGATAATATCGTTTCTAACTTTGTTTCATATGGTTAAGTTGGCAGCTTTTCTGAGGTATCTCATTAGTGAATGTGTAATTGTGTAAAATAAATTTAACAAAATTTGTGTGTGATGCATCTGCAGTGATGTCAGACATTTGGACATATTTTTAACTGTTATATAAAGCCAAAATGTATTCTTCATGTTAATTAGGATGAAATTCTAATATTGGGCAGATACTGTGTCGATAAAATATAGGGTAATGACAGTTGGAAAAATAATGTTTGATATAGTTGACCATAAAGGGCAACAGCAAGCACAGACAGGGCAGTTTTGATGCCAACAGAATCTTGATCTTTTCAGAGCCATCAGCCAAGCTGCAGGTAAAACAGTGCTTGATGCTGGGGATGATATTGGGAACAACACTCAGTAAGTTATTGTCTTTCTTGTATTATTTATTTTATCACAGTCGATGTCACTGCACATATAGCATTCCTATGAGTGCTCAGTCTTCCATAAAGCTGCCACTGGTACCTCTACTGATTGTTCTCATGAGGAGCTGGTTATCTTCTTCTTCTTTGCGTTCACCAGCTGTAAACTCTGGCGGAAATTTTTAGTTGTTCATCCACTTCTGGACTGCAGTCCTGTTCTAGAACCTGAGTGTTGCGTGTGCATCCTTTTTACAGATCTGAATCATTTGTATGCAGACTGCTGGTTCCTTGCCTCTCAAATTTTCGTCCAGTAGTTTGCGATTGCTTTCTGGATGGTCGGCTCTCGGTACCATGGTCGAAACCATCGCAAGTCAAACCGTCCGCAGCAGGGTTCGAACCCGGCAACCCGACATTACAAAGCGCGTTTGCAACGCCTAAGCCACAGACACCGACACATCCCAATGTAGAAGAGGAAAGATTAAACAACAATCTAAGGTACCTCTACATCTCAGGGCAGAAGAGGAAAGATTAAACAAGACTGTAAAACACCTCTACACCCCAGGGTAGAAGAGGGGGACCTTCCACACAGAAAACAGATTAGGCAAGAGAGTCTCTGTGGATTCTGAGGCCCTATTTTGAGGAAAAGAAAAATGGACCCACTGACCGCTAAAAAGCATGTTGTAAAGGGTGATTAATGAAGGATTCACTTATATTTGGGTGTGTTGTACTGAAAGGTGCAAGCATCACAGACTAGCTGTAAACCACAAGACAATATGTCAGCTGTTCTTTTTAGGGGGAATGCAGAAAAAAATAAGAGTGATGAATGTACCCTTTATTATTCTTGCTTTTCTCCAGAGCTCTGTCCTTCCTATACCCTTATGGAGCAACACTCAATGTTGCCAAGCCTGCGGTAGCTGTACTGTCGACTGGCAGTGTTTGTTTCCCTTTGACCAGGCCTGTGTGTGCCTTGTACTCATCCAAGGTGAGAAATTTTTTAAAAATTCACTTTTATCTTTAATATTTCTCTCTGTATTTATAATTTAAACATAAACGCGAAATTACAGGGGAAATGAGATGCATAAGAAGGGGGGGGGGGGGGGGGGGAACCAGAAGAGGCAGTGTCATCAGTGAAGAACTAAGAACAGTAGTAATCACAGTACTGGTGAAGGATTTCAAAGAACATCAAAGAACCAATTGGTTTGGTCATCAGACAGCAGCTAGAGCTTACTACATGAGAACAGCAGGCTACAGGGCAAGAGGCAGTGTCATCAGTGAAGAACCAAGAACAGTAGTAATCACATTACTGGTGAAGGATTTCAAAGAACATCAAAGAACGAAATGGTTTGGTCATCAGACAGCAGCTAGAGCATACTACATGAGAACAGCAGGCTACAGGGCAAGAGGCAGTGTCATCAGTGAAGAACTAAGAACAGTAGTAATCACAGTACTGGTGAAGGATTTCATAGAACATCAAAGAATCAAATAGTTTGGTCATCAGACAGCAGCTAGAGCATACTACATGAGAACAGCAGGCTACAGGGCAAGAGGCAGACCAAGAAAGATGTGGATGGAGGGAGTTGAAGAACACTAGAGAAACACAATATGACATTAACACAAGCTACGCAACTACAAAAAGACAGGAAACTACATATAACTAGCTGGTGTCACATTGTTAAATGGCAAACTCTCAAACCTAGGCAGACGGGTTTAATCCTTAATGAGGTAGCAGCCAGTGTGATACTGGCCACATCACCCATCTTGAACTGATTTGGTCTAAAAAAATATAGGTCTAGCCCTATATGCCCTGTACGCCTAAAGGTGTGGAAAAGGGACCTTTACTTTTACCTTACTGAGGTAGCAGCTGTAATTCTTTCTCTAGTCTATGTCATGGGGCATTAATTACTGAGTCTCTATGTAGCCTCTTTTTCATGTATTGCCATTTCTGATACAACTGTTCTTCCATACAGTGATACCAGACTGACCATATCTTCTGTCTCATGTAGTGATAGTCATTTCTGATACAACTGTTCTTCCATACAATGATGCCAGACTGTCCATATCTTCTGTCTCATGTAGTGATAGTCATTTCTGATACAACTGTGCTTCCTTACAGTGATACCAGACTGTCCATAACTTCTGTCTCATGTAGTGATAGTCTTTTCTGATACAACTGTTCTTCCATACAGTGATGCCAGACTGTCCATATCTTCTGTCTCATGTAGTGATAGTCATTTCTGATACAACTGTTCTTCCATACAGTGATGCCAGACTGTCCATATCTTCTGTCTCATGTAGTGATAGTCATTTCTGATACAACAGTTCTTCCATACAATGATGCCAGACTGTCCATATCTTCTGTCTCATGTAGTGATAGTCATTTCTGATACAACTGTTCTTCCATACAGTGATGCCAGACTGTCCATATCTTCTGTCTCATGTAGTGATAGTCATTTCTGATACAACAGTTCTTCCATACAGTGATGCCAGACTGTCCATATCTTCTGTCTCATGTAGTGATAGTCATTTCTGATACAACTGTTCTTCCATACAGTGATACCAGACTGTCCATATCTTGTGACTCATGTAGTGATAGTCATTTCTGATACAACTGTTCTTCCATACAGTGATACCAGACTGTCCATATCTTCTGTCTCATGTAGTGCCAGTCATTTCTGATACAACTGTTCTTCCATACAGTGATACCAGACTGTCCATATCTTCTGTCTCATGTAGTGATAGTCATTTCTGATACAACTGTTCTTCCATACAGTGATACCAGACTGTCCATATCTTCTGTCTCATGTAGTGAAAGTCATTTCTGATACAACTGTTCTTCCATACAGTGATGCCAGACTGTCCATATCTTCTGTCTCATGTAGTGATAGTTATTTCTGATACAACTGTTCTTCCTTACAATGATGCCAGACTGTCCATAACTTCTGTCTCATGTAGTGATAGTCTTTTCTGATACAACTGTTCTTCCATACAGTGATGCCAGACTGTCCATATCTTCTGTCTCATGTAGTGATAGTCATTTCTGATACAACTGTTCTTCCATACAGTGATGCCAGACTGTCCATATCTTCTGTCTCATGTACTGCCAGTCATTTCTGATACAACTGTTCTTCCATACAATGATGCCAGATTGTCAGTTTTCTCTGTCTTGATCTCCTTTTGCTCTCCAACTTAACCATTTTTGGTGTAATTTTTCCCAGAATGCCCCCTGGTTTATCACATGTTATAGAAATCACATAATATAGAAATCTTGCACATTTATAGTTGTTTTTTTTACAAATTGTTAAAATTAAATTTTTTCTGGAGTATCTGGTACATTTCTGGTAAATATGGTACATTTATATACTTTCATGCGTATATTTATTTTGATTGTTGAAATTTATTTGCAGCATCACAAAGGTAAAATAGCGGTAGTTGGCTCTGTGCACATGTTTTCTGACCAGTACATCGACAAAGAAGAGAACAGTAAGATATTGGTAAGTTATGTTCTTTGTGACATCATCATCATCATCACCTCACCCTGTCTCTTCTTCATTGTTTTTTTTTCTTTGTGGTAAAGTGATCAAGGTATTTTCCTCACACTCTGAAGGTCACAGGTTCATTTTATGGGTGCAATTTAATAATGCAGTTTTTAAAGGAGATACCTGGGGACCACCACTGAAGCCATGGAGTTTGTGCTTTGTGCTGCACTTTCTTGTCGGATGGCTAACCGTTCTGTTGATAAAGACCAAGATACACCTGGTGCAGTAAAGTCGGTCTTCTTGACTTTAATTTTTACATTTTTTTAAATCCTTTTTATTCTTCCCCTTATACATTTGTGCATATAAATAGTTCTTGGCCAGGAGTTCCAAAAACCTCAAGCTAAATGTATTTCTGTGACCCCATGACAGGACTCCCATCAATTATTAATTCTTATAATCGATTGGAGTTATATCACCTATTTTGACACAGTTTTGGATTTGGGCTGTCATATTCGGACATTTTTCTCTATCTTCCACATTTTCATCTTCCAAAGGAACATAGTCCCTTAAGTGACATTTGCCAAAACCTCTGTTAGCTTGTTCACGATTGGTTGGATTTAGCTGCCGAATCGTCCTATGGGATTTAAAAAAAAAAGTAAAGGACCCTTTTCCACGCCTTTAGGCGTATAGGGCATATAGGGCTAGACCTATATTTTTATAGACCAATCGGCACAAGATGGGTGTCAGCATCACGCCGGCCGCCTTTACTTTCCTGTCCTGGGACTGCACCCAGTACCCACTCAAGGCTGGGTCGATCTGGGAGCCAAGGTCATTTTTGAAGAAAAGTCGGTTTCCGCCAGGGAGCGAACCCACAACCTTCCGATCCGCGACGAGCGTCTAGCCGCTCGGCCACGGCGACTCGTCCTATGGGATAAGGTGGCTAATATTGCTGGAGAAGCTCCACGGATGATGTAGACTGTTCCTGTTGGATGAGATGCAGACGTGTTTGTGTGCTAGGGTCAGGACTGACATTGACCTAGACCTCACCTCACTTCTTCTCTCTCCTGACTCTTCTTACCTCTATCCAACTCTTCCCTTGTCTTCTCCTGTTCTTACTTCTCCTCAGATTTTCTAAGCTTTTCTAATCAAAGGCCCTTTAAGGAAACAATGCGGAGGCCTGAGTACATCATTGTGGTCTGGAGAGAATGGTACGGCTAGGATTGACCAGGTGATCTGGTCAACACCCTGCACCAAGAGGTGAGGCACATATAATCAAACTGCTACTGGCACTAACCATCAGAATTGGAACTCTTCGCACGCTGCTGAAGATGTGGACAGAGCGCTTATGGGAATGTCCCCAGTGCTGTGATCCTGTTCTTAGCCCAGCACTAAACAATACTTTGACAGGATCACCCTGGCATGTTCTGTAATTTGACTACAGAAGAGTGGACGGAACACCCTGGCACGTTCTGTAATTTGGCTACAGAAGAGTGGATGAAACATCCTGGCATGTTCTGTAATTTGACTACAGAAGAGTGGACGGAACACCCTGGCATGTTCTGTAATTTAACTACGGAAGAGTGGACGGAACATCCTGGCATGTTCTGTAATTGGGCTACAGAAGAGTGGATGAAACATCCTGGCATTTTCTGTAATTTGGCTATGGAGGAGTGGATGAAACATCCTGGCATGTTCTGTAATTTTGGCTACAGAAGAGTGGATGAAACATCCTGGCATGTTCTGTAATTTGGCTACAGAAGAGTGGATGAAACATCCTGGCATGTTCTGTAATTTGGCTACAGAAGAGTGGATGAAACATCCTGGCATGTTCTGTAATTTGGCTACTGAAGAGTGGACAGAACATCCTGGCATGTTCTGTAATTTGGCTACTGAAGAGTTGATGAAACATCCTGGCATGTTCTGTAATATGGCTACAGAAGAGTTGATGAAACATCCTGGCATTTTCTGTAACTTGGCTACAGAAGAGTGGATGAAACATCCTGGCATGTTCTGTAATTTGGCTACAGAAGAGTGGATGAAACATCCTGGCATGTTCTGTAATTTAACTACGGAAGAGTGGACGGAACATCCTGGCATGTTCTGTAATTGGGCTACAGAAGAGTGGATGAAACATCCTGGCATTTTCTGTAATTTGGCTATGGAGGAGTGGATGAAACATCCTGGCATGTTCTGTAATTTTGGCCACAGAAGAGTGGATGAAACATCCTGGCATGTTCTGTAATTTGGCTACAGAAGAGTGGATGAAACATCCTGGCATGTTCTGTAATTTGGCTACAGAGGAGTGGATGAAACATCCTGGCATGTTCTGTAATTTGGCTACAGAAGAGTGGATGAAACATCCTGGCATGTTCTGTAATTTGGCTACTGAAGAGTGGACAGAACATCCTGGCATGTTCTGTAATTTGGCTACTGAAGAGTTGATGAAACATCCTGGCATGTTCTGTAATATGGCTACAGAAGAGTGGATGAAACATCCTGGCATTTTCTGTAACTTGGCTACAGAAGAGTGGATGAAACATCCTGGCATGTTCTGTAATTTGGCTACAGAAGAGTGGATGAAACATCCTGGCATGTTCTGTAATTTAACTACGGAAGAGTGGATGGCACATCCTGGCATGTTCTGTAATTTGGCTACAGAAGAGTGGATGAAACATCCTGGCATGTTCTGTAATTTGGCTACAGAAGAGTGGATGAAACATCCAGGCATGTTCTGTAATTTGGCTACAGAAGAGTGGATGAAACATCCTGGCATGTTCTGTAATTTGGCTACAGAAGAGTGGATGAAACATCCTGGCATGTTCTGTAATTTGGCTATGGAAGAGTGGATGGCACATCCTGGCATGTTCTGTAATTTGGCTACAGAAGAGTGGATGGCACATCCTGGCATTTTCTGTAATTTGGCTACAGAAGAGTGGATGAAACATCCTGACATGTTCTGTAATTTGGCTACAGAAGAGTGAATGAAACATCCTGGCATGTTCTGTAATTTGGCTATGGAAGAGTGGATTAAGCATGTCTCAACCATGATGACGCTTGTCATGGATTCCAACATTGCACAGAACCAGTTCTTAACTTCATAGGTAGGCAGCAAATCAAATGGTTTGGCCATGTAACAAGATTGACATTAGACAGGCCACCATAGAGATCAATGTTATACAGATACAGCAGTAACAGATGCAGAGGTCAGCCACGCAGAAGATGGACCGCAGAAATATTAGAGGCGCTGAACAGAACTTTATACACAGCGAACAGAAGGGCCCATTCCAGAGATTTGTTCCTGTCCTGATGCCGCGAGGTGTTCCAGGAGTAGAGGAAAAAAAGAAGAAGAACATTGAATAAAGACACGGCAATTCCTCGTGATTTAAATAAAATTCTAAACCTGCACAGTACGTGGCAACAGCACTAGCCTTGCGGCGCTAAATGCTCAGGCTCAAATACCCCCCACACACACACACACACACACTGCAAAATTTCTAGTAGATACAGGCAGAAATAACTTTGTTTAGTGTGTGTATGTGTGTGCTGAATACCTCATGATGATGTATTCACCTCTTGCACTGACCTTTTGGAAAAGCTGTGTTCATTTGTGTATGTGATATATTCCGCCAGGATGTGTTGATACGATACCTGACCACAGATGAGATCAAACTGAATATCATTGATGCTGAAGATCCAGAGGTAAGGTTAAGGTTGTCTCCATTACTGACTGACCAAGGCCGTGACATGGCTAGAGACACAGACTTTCACCTGTGCATGTTTTCTCAGTGACTCAGTGGGTATGCTGAGGAACATATAGATGGCTGGGTCAGAAGACAGTGGTTGGTGTTTCTGACACAGTTGAGGCTGACAGATGTAAGTTTTATTTCAATGTTAGGGCATACAGGTGTGCAAGGAAATGAGCAAGCTGATAGGCTTGCAGGTAAGGCTACTGTAAAGGGCGGAAGAAACGTAGACCATGCTGATATACTGAATTCTCTGCGAGAAGTAAGACATTTGTGAGAACCAAGTGATTGACTGTGATTCTGTAACCATGGCCAGACTGCAAGAAGAGCTAGTTAAAAGAGGTATGACCAGACAAGAGCACTATACTGAAAGTCAAAGAAGAAGAATAAAGCAACACATAACTAGTGTTGCCAGCCGCTACATGCTGCAAGATTTACTAAGGAGGTAATCCAAGCACTTGTTGACTGAATGGTTTGATGTGCCATTTACATAATTTCTCGACTGACTGACTGAACTGACTGACCTGTTTTTCCCTCCAGGCTGCTACTTGATGGTTTGATACCACTGCGACTCAGAAAGTAACATCCAGGATGCTATCCCAACAGGGCAGATCCCAGATACCCCATTCAGTCTCCTAAGATGTTATAATTAGGCACCCTTCCCAGGTGCACCAAGTACAGATCTGGAAGAGGATCTCAATCTGATAACATTAAATTAGGATATTGTGCAGGCTAAACCAACACAAAGAGTTTGGTCTCCATCTTCAGCAGCCAAAACCAAGTTCCGATACCAGTGGTGCTAGCAGCAGTCTCATTATACGCCCGTCTGGCCTTTCCTCTGAAAATTGAGTATCAGTCAGAGCCCTTCATCACTCGTCGCTGCATTAATCTCACCAGACTGATGATCAGTTTGCTTTTCCAGATTGTACATGTGATCCGGTAAGGCCTTAACCCTGTCTGTCTAGGATTATCGATGTTCCACCAAGTTAGGCACTGCCAGCTTATCTGTCAGCATAGAGTTGTATATAGCCTCATTTGGCACACACCTCACAAAAGTCTGGCACGCATATACTAATATTTTTGAATAGAAAATTAAGGCTGGACTTAAGCTGAAGCTTTTTTAATTTCACAATGAAGATGGCGAACGCTAGTTGCTGTGGCTGACTCCTTTCCACACTGCCGCTTGTTTTCCTAATTGAGAGAGAAGCCAGAAGAGCTGGACCAACAGAGCAGTGTGGTGGCTTAATTTTAAGTGGAAACTTCCAGAAAACTCTTGACTACCGAGGTAAAACTCAATACACAAATTAAATTTGTGTGTGATAATTGATGTTTCTGTTCTCTGTAGACTGATTACTTATGTCTGAGATAATTTATAATATATACCCTTTGAGTATTCTCTCATTTCACCTTGCCCAGATCAGCGACTACAGCCAGTTACCAGATATTGCCAGGTTGTCTGAGCAGCTGAAAACGTGCTTACAGGAGAGTGATGACATCCCACGGGATATTACAACTCTGTTTGACAACTCCATGTTCAGGCTGGACACTTCGCTGGTTCCGAAATCCATCAAGTAGGTTGTAACAGCAGTTGTGTTTCATCAGCTTGATGATTGTCCCCAAGATGATTGATTATCCTCAGTGAAATGATTGTCTTTCAAGAAGATTGATTGTCTCTCAACAAGATAGAATGTCCGTGATTTCTTCTTCTTCTACAATCACACTTTGTGTGGTGGTTTACTGCGTTCACTGGCTGTGTAATCCAGCAGAAAGTTCTGCTTGTTTGTCCACTTCTGGTCTCTAGTTCTGTTCCAGAACCTGAGTGTTGCAGATCTGATTCATTTGTGTACAGACTTGCCTTCTTGCCTCTCCGTCAAATGCATTCTAATTTCAAAAGAAGCTTCTAATTAGTCGGCTCTTACCACAAGCTTTTGAGTAGGCCGTGGGTCTGATCTTGTTTTCTCCACACTTAGCCCCTGGAACCCACACAGGGAGAAATGGGGTTCAAATCCTTGGTAATGTGGAGGAGGTTTTTTGCTGTCTGGGGCACAAACAAATCGCACATCCTGCACAGTTTGTGGCGACGGCACTAGCCATGCAGTCCTTATTCCTCATACTTATGACCTCTCCCCGTGTGGGTCCTGGGGCCCTGTTATAGGGAAAACAAGAACAGACCCACTGCCCCCTGTGTGGGTTCTGGGGCCCTGTTATAGGGAAAACAAGAACAGACCCACTGCCCCCCGTGTGGGTTCTGGGGCCCTGTTATAGGGAAAACAAGAACAGACCCACTGCCTACCCAAAAACATGTCCTAAGAGTCGACTAATTGGGTTTTCTTTCAGAGTCAGAATGCATCTGCCTGAGAGGCAAGGAACCAACAGTCTGCATATAAATGAGTCAGATCTGTCAAACGGATGCACACACAACACTCAGGTTCTGGAACAGGACTGCAGTCCAGAAGTGGACGAACAACCAGAACTTTCCGCCACAGTTTACAGCTGGTGAACTGGAAGAAGAAGAAGAAGACTTATGACCTCTCTCTTATATGCCTTCCTTAAAAAAAAATTTTTTTTTTAAATAAAAACTAGTCTTGTTTATTTTAAAAAAATGAGCCAAATATCTTTATTCTGTTAGTGGCAGGTGCAGTTACTATGTTGTATATAGAATCTGTCTGACTTACCCACTGGACACTGCAGACTCCTCAAGCACTCATTTAAATCAGGGATCAGCCAAACAGCTCTCTGCCGCTGTCTTTGTGCTGAACAGATTCCAGAAAATTCCTTGTGAGACTCCTCTCCTGGCGGAGCAGCGAAGCAACATGTGGCTACACCTAGTAGACCTGCCAGCTAAGCTTTGGGGAAACCTGAGACCTTGAGATGACATCCTAGTTTATTGCCCACAGTGGATGAAGCACATGACCAGAGATCGCTGCAGAAGTAGAAGGATCTGTCTACATTTTTGTCTTCCTCTTCAGCACTTTCTGTGGGTGCTTCATTTCATCATTATTCTCTTTAGCACTTTCAATGAGTGCTTCATTCCATATCCTTTTCGGACCTTCATTTCTTTCTTGAGCATGTAGCCTGAGATGACTAATTGTGCTCAGTTTTATTTGTCCTAATGATTTTTCATTGTTTGGTTAGAAAATCATGATTGACTGAAAGCAGCAACTCTTGTTGGTTTTAACTTACTACCAGGGCTTATGAAGAACTCAAGGTGAAGCACGAGCCAGTTACCTTGATCACGCCTCAGTTTGAGACTCCTCTGCCACCGCTGGTTCCTGCGGTAAGTATCTAGCTATTTGTACTCTTCTTCTTCGCATTAACCAGCTGTCAACTCCAGCGGAAAGTTCTAGTTGTTTGTCCATCTCTGGACGTTGTCTTATTCTAGAAGCTGAGTGTTGTGTGCACACACATCCATTTTACAGATCTGACATATTTGTATGCAGACTTCATTTCGAGCAGATGCACTTCGACTTCAAAGGAAGACCACCCCTCCATTAGTTGACTCTTATGACATGCTTGTTGAGAAGACAGTGGGTCTGTTTGTGTTTTCTCTACGCCGAGGCCCCAGAACTCACACAGGAAGACTATTTGTGTAGGTGGTTAGAGGCACTGCAGGGAGAGAGAGAAGCAAGAAGAAATAACAGATAAGGAAGAAATGGAAAGGACGATTTAAATAAAGTCATAAAATATTGTGTTTGATACACTGACTTATTGCCGCTAGATTCTATTATGTGTGTCTGTTTTACTGCAGATAGTCAAACAATCTTCTTCTTAATGATTGGTCTCCACATTGAAGGTTTAGCTACGTTTTATTTCTTATTCTTCTTGTGTGCTCTTTCTGTTTTCACTGGCAGACAAGTTCTTCTGATAAACTTGACTGTTTTTATTGGTTCCCTTTTAGTACCATACAGCTTTGAGTGCAGTGTTGACTCATTGGGCCAGTATTCCCTTCTTAATGATTTTGCACAAGGGACATTCTTACAGGACATATTCTGTAGTCTGCACACACAGCTCACAAGGGCACAAAGGTGAACAACCTAGATGAAGCCTGTGCCTATGCTTGTTAAGTTTGTTATGTCCTGTCCTTAGACGTAGTATAATGACCTGCCCTTGCTGGTCAAGTAAGTGGTAGTCATCTCTGGCCAGACTCTGGTCACTTCTGATAGACTAAATAGCCTTTTTTTCTTTTCTCAAAGTATGTTACTGCATTCTCTTCCTGTTCACATTTTGCCCCTTTCTTAGCAAGTTTATCGGTGGTTTCATTTGCTGGTATACCTCAGTTCTATTTTTTATTAAACCGTCCACCGCAGGGTCACAAAGGTCTTGAAATTGTTAATCACATCCAATAAACTGTAAGGCTTAGAGCCGTATGATAGTCATCTCATGCCAGAAGCAAAGACAGACAATTATTTTCTTTTTTGTTTTACTGAAACAAACTTGACTGTACTGACTCTGTGTTCATTGAGAAAGTTGGCATCCATGGCTTGGGGGTTGTGAATTTGTTGTGTAATTCTGAGATGTCTGGTTTAATCCCAGCTGCTGGCAGTTTGGCAGCAGACCTTGTTGTATTGATTTTGACATTGGTATCATAAGTCGACTGTTCAGAAGGCAGTGGCAAACTACTGAAAGAGGGATGATTATAATAAGAATTTGTGCATTGTTTACTGAAGTTAATGCAGACTATGGTAATTCTGAAGAGCCACATATAATTCTGTTTATTTTATTGTTTCTTTGCTTTGTTTTTATAGGTATTCTCCCCTTCTTTCCAAGAGTTACCACCTCCTGCTCTTGAGCTCTTTGATTTGGACGAGCAATTTTCTTCAGAGAAAGTGAGAATAGCACAGCTCACCAATAAATGTGAGTTGTATAAATGTGCTGATAGCACAAATAGTAGATAGCTGTTAGAATAGAATAGATAAGTAAATGTGATGGTAGCACAAATAGTAGATAGTTGTGAGCAAGGAATAGATCAGTAAATGTGAGTTGGGAAAATGTGCTGATAGCACAAATAGTAGATAGCTGTGAGAATAGAATAGATAAGTAAATGTGATTGTAGCACAAATAGTAGATAGTTGTGAGCAAGGAATAGATCAGTAAATGTGAGTTGGGAAAATGTGCTGATAGCACAAATAGTAGATAGCTGTGAGAATAGAATAGATCAGTAAATGGGAGGGACATCAATGGGAGGGTAACACAGACAGATGATAAATGGTAGGGTAACACAGACAGATGATAAATGGGTGGGTAACACAGATAGATAATAAATTGGAGGGAACACATATAGATGATAAATGGTTGGGTAACACAGACAGATGATAAATGGTTGGGTTACACAGATAGATAATAAATTGGAGGGAAACACATATAGATTATAGATGGGAGGGTAACACAGATAGATGATAAATGGGAGGATAACACAGATAGATGATAAATTGGTGGGTAACACAGATAGGTGATAAATGGGTGGGTAACACAGATAGATGATAAATGGTAGGGTAACACAGATAGATGATAAATGGGTGGGTAACACAGATAGATGATAAATGGTAGGGTAACACAGATAGGTGATAAATGGGTGGGTAACACAGATAGATAATAAATTGGAGGGTAACACATATAGATGATAAATCGGTGGGTAACACAGATAGATAATAAATTGGAGGGTAACATATAGATGATAAATGGGTGGGTAACACAGACAGATGATAAATGGGTGGGTAACACAGATAGATAATAAATTGGAGGGTAACACAGATAGATAATAAATTGGAGGGTAACACATATATATGATAAATGGGTGGGTAACACAGATAGATAATAAATTGGAGGGTAACACGTATAGATGATAAATGGGTGGGTATCACAGATAGATAATAAATTGGAGGGTAACACATATAGATGATAAATGGGAGGGTAACACAGACAGATGATAAATGGGTGGGTAACACAGATAGATAATAAATTGGAGGGTAACACATATAGATGATAAATGGGAGGGTAACACAGACAGATGATAAATGGGTGGGTAACACAGATAGATAATAAATTGGAGGGTAACATAGATGATAAATGGGAGGGTAACACAGACATGATAAATGGGTGGGTAACACAGATAGATAATAAATTGGAGGGTAACACATATAGATGATAAATGGGAGGGTAACACAGACAGATGATAAATGGGTGGGTAACACAGATAGATAATAAATTGGAGGGTAACACATATAGATGATAAATGGGAGGGTAACACAGACAGATGATAAATGGGTGGGTAACACATATAAATAATAAATTGGAGGGTAACACATATAGATGATAAATGGGAGGGTAACACAGATAGATGATAAATGGGAGGGTAACACAGATAGATAATAAATTGGAGGGTAACACATATAGATGATAAATGGGAGGGTAACACAGATAGATGATAAATGGGAGGGTAACACAGACGGATGATAAATGAGAGGGTAAGACAGACAGATGATAAATGGGAGGGTAACACAAATGGATGATAAATGGGAGGGTAACACAGACAGATTCTGTGGCTGCAATGATCACCAATAAATTTTGAGTTGTGTAAATGTTGTAACAACACAGACAGGTGGTAAATGTGAGGGCAGCACAAGTAGACAATACAAGTGAGGGCAGCACAGATAAGTGATAAATGGGAACACTTCACAAATAGACAGTAAATGTGAGGGCAGCGCATATAGACAGTAAATGTGAGGACATCATAAATAGACAATAATTGTGAGGACAGCACAGATAGGAGATAAATGTGAGGACTACATAAATAGACAATAAATGTGAGGGCAGCACAGAAAGGAGATAAATGTGAGGGCAGCACAGATAGGAGATAAATGTGAGAACAGCACAGATAGGAGATAAATGTGAGGGCAACACAGATAGGAGATAAATGTGAGGGCAGCACAGATAGGAGATAAATGTGCGGGCAGCACAGATAGGAGATAAATGTGCGGGCAGCACAGATAGGAGATAAATGTGAGGACAGCACAGATAGGAGATAAATGTGAGGACAGCACAGATAGGAGATAAATGTGAGGACAGCACAGATAGGAGATAAATGTGCGGGCAGCACAGATAGGAGATAAATGTGAGGACAGCACAGATAGGAGATAAATGTGCGGGCAGCACAGATAGGAGATAAATGTGAGGACTACATGAATAGACAATAAATGTGAGGACAGCACAGATAGGAGATAAATGTGAGGGCAACACAGATAGGAGATAAATGTGCGGGCAGCACAGATAGGAGATAAATGTGAGGACTACATGAATAGACAATAAATGTGAGGGCATCTCAGATAGACAACAAATGTGCAGGCATATATATGAGTGTAAAAGTAGAACAGTTGGCCGATAAATGAGGTAGATATGTGTGTAAGAAAAATGTATTTGTGTTTGTTCTCACAGAACTGGGACATCTGTGGGGACAATATTGCCTTTATGATAGTGTTTTATAGACTGTAAAAATATTCATATCATCGTCATATGTTGTTGACAACAGCAAAAATAATATTGATTAGGTTCTGTATGCATGTGTTCTAGAGCCCTATCGGGGAAGGAAAAGGGGTCCGGTGTGGTTGTGGGGGATGAATTCACTGCCGCTTTAGCAAGCATGCCATAGAAAGTGACTAATTAGAGGTCTACTAAAATAGGATTTTTTGGACTGAAAGGCACAGATGCTACAGCCTGGCTGTAGACCGCAACACAGATCGCCAGTACAGAGGAAGAAGAATAAGATTAGATGGAGGAGAGAAAAACGCAGAAAGTGTGTGCATGTTATCTTCATTTGACAGGCACCAAATGATGATCTGGAGTACTGTGTTATCATTGTTTGTTTTTATGTTGTATGTTTGTGTGTAAATGTTATCATTGTTTGTTTTTATGTTGTATGCTTGTGTGTAATAGTTATCTTTGTTTGACGGGCACAGATGATGATCTGGAGTACATATGTTATCACTGTTTGCATGTGGTATGTTTGTGTGTAAGTGTTATCCTTGTTTGTATATTGTATGTTTGTGTGTAAATGTTATCATTGTTTGTATGTTGAATGTATATATGTAAATGTTATCTATGTTTGGCAGGCACTGACAATGATCTGGAGTACATATGTTATCACTGTTTGCATGTCATATGTTTGTGTGTAAATTTTATCATTGTTTGTATATTGTATGTATGTGTGTAAATGCTATCATTGTTTGTATATTGTATGTTTATGTTTAAATATTATCATTGTTTGTGTGTTGAATGTAGATATGTAAATGTTCTTCCCCTTTTATCGCTGTGGGTGTCAAGGGAGATATAAGATTCTGTTTCTAGCTCTTCTGGCCGCCTCGACCATAGGCACATCATGCTGTTGTAGAGTTTCTTTGATGTTATCCTTCCATCTTGTTCTTGGTCTACCTCGTGCTCTACGTCCTTCTTCTCTTTCCATGTATGCTTTGTATGGTATGGTGTCACAAGGCATTCTCTCTAAGTGGGCAAACCATTTCACCTGCTGTCTTTGTATGTAATTTAGAATTGGCTCTGTGCCGACTTTTTCTCTTATGATCTCATTCCTGATCTTATCTCTTATGGTCACTCCTACAGCCCTTCTCAGACATCTCATCTCCGTGGTTTGTCTGTTGTAAATGTTTTCTATATTTTACAGGTACTGACGAGGATCTGGAGTACTATGTTCGCGAGTGTGGGGACATCCTTGGTGTGCCGCATCACCTGCCTCAGGAAAACCGCACAGCCAAGCACATCCTGGAGCACATCTTTACTCAGATTGTGGAGTTTAAAAAACTCAATCAGGTATCTGCTTTTTTTTTTTTTTTCCATTTTGGATTGGTTAATGCTAACAGGGTTTGGTTGTACTTTCACTAACAGTGATACAGAGAAAGAGAAAAGGCTGGGAGAAACAACATGAGGGAAATTAAGGAGAGATGAAAGTTCAAGAAAAGAGAGAAGTTAAAAGAAACAGGGAGAAATAAAGTTAAAGAGAAGAGAGAAATTGAAAGAAGTAAGGAGAAATGAAAGTTGAAAAGTCAGAGAAATTGAATGGAGCAGTGAAAAATAGAAGTTGAGAAGGTCAGAGAAATTAAAAGGAGTAGGGAGAAATAAAAGTTAGGAGAGAGAGTGAAATTAACAAAGTAAGAAGACATAAAAGGGAAGAGAGAGAAATTAAAAGTAGGGAGAACACCAGTGTGTGTTCTGGGGTCCAAACTGATGGTGGGTAGGGGGACGGGGAAATTAGACCCACTGCCCCCAACAAGCATGTCATAAAAGGCTGTGTGATTAGAAGTTTCCATAAATTGATTGAATGTGTTGGGCCAAAAAGGGCAGATGTCATAGTCTTGTTGTAAACCACAACACTGGCTAGTTTCTCTTTTAAGGGAGACACAAAAGTGCAATGAAGCCTTTCCTCTCAGCCTTAACTCTTTGAGTCCCAGGGGGTTTAGCATCACAGGCCCAAGGGGTAGTCAAGAGAGACGTAAAATCGGCGCATCATGCGTTCATTGAGCCTCTAGGTAGGAATCTGTGAACGTATGATGCATTCCTTGGAACTCAAAGAGTTTTCACTTTAGAACAGAATAAAGTCATGTGTGGAGTAGACAGGTAATCAAGACTGTGTTGTCCTTGAAAGCTGGAGTGCACCTGCCTGAAAGACGAGGAACCAACAGTCTGCATACTTCTTCTTAGCGTTCGCTCATCGGCTGTAAACCCTAGCGGAAAGTTCTGATTGCCCACATCTGGACTTTGGTTTTGTTCCAGAAGTTACATTATCACATGCACATCCGTTTTCCAGATCTGGCTTATTGATGTGCAGTTTCCCAGTGTGGGTTCTGGGG